ATAAACCTACTGAGTGGAAGGAAGGAAGTCATCCTGAGATGAAAATTTGGGTACAGAACTTAACAGAACAATTAGAGCCTTAAATTCAGTTCCCTGGGTCTGTTCTTTACTAGTCTTGGTGCCATTGGGAAAGTCATTACAACTTTCAGAGTTGAAATTTATATCTCTAAAATGAGGCAACTGAAACAGTTGAGTCCTGTCATCCCTTCTAGCTCTTTGATTCTATGACATGTCTAACTGCTTGTAACTGGGAATACAAAAATACTTTGTGAGGCACCTTGATCTTGGCCTAACATAATGGGGATTTCCTGAAATCTGTTACTTGACAGAAAAAAATTACATTCTACTATAATAATGGATTTCATACTTACCATGTGGATTATGGTTTCTTCAGTGAATCCAGTTCACATTAGATCCTTATGAACTAGAACCATTAAATGGTTAATCTCATCCTTAACACAATTGCTTCTTGCCATGCTGCCTTCATGCTTTTGATATCATTTAAGGATATGAAAAATATCACAATTTATGCTGATTCAGATGGAAATATTCTATCAGGTTTTTTTTCCTTGGTCTTGATTCTGCATTGAAAATCTAGTATGCAATAAGCCAGTGTTAGAATCTGTTTATAACTTAGGGACAGATGGCAGTTGTAGTGTCCTAGAATACCAACCAGTAAGAATGTTAAATACACATATTGTATTTCCAAGAAAAATGTAAACTTTTTGAGGCTGAGACTGTTTTTTTTGGAGAGGAAAAACTGTTTTTTTCTTCTTCTTGTTTGTATATTAAGAACCTGGCACTAAGTAATTAAGAAACACGTTTTGATTTAGATGTGATTGGCAGAAAGCCTGCATGGTGATGCCCATTCATCAAGTATTTCTTGAATTGAAATGAATACATATGTTATGTTTTCATTTGTATCTCTTACCCTTCTTTTTCTGAATTTGTCCCCTCTGTCTTGCTCACTTTTGGTAGAGAATTCTTAGTTTGTACTGTCTCCCTCCCTCAAAAAAAGACTCAATTCTTTTCTGAGATCCAAATTTTCTTCTTTTTACATCTCATCAGATTTTTTTGTTAGATCACAATGGTTTCTTAAAACAAAGCAAAGCATATGACTATAAAGTTTCTCTGACCCTGATGCTTCTTCTGAAGCAAGTTACATATTTGTTTTAGGGAGCTCTTTGACATGTCAAATAATTGTGCTTCCAATAACATGATTGCTTTTTTTAAAAAAGTTTTTATTTTCATAGGTTGGATATAGATTTTTCCATCCATTTTTTCATAATGGTAATATTAACACCATATTTATATAACACTGCCGTCCTCAGAACAACCATGTGAAGTAGATAACATCAATATTATTATCCTTTTTTTACAGATAAGTAAAGTGAGGCTGAGAGTGATAAAGTTACTTGCCCTGGGGCACTTAGCCAATAAGTTTCAGAACTGGGAACCTGAACTAGAATCTCTTTCCTCAGTGTACTCCATTGCCTCTCAAAGTCCTGTACAAATATCAAGTAGGGGGTTCTCTGGTATAATGGTTTTTGCCCTTAATATGTTCAATTGACCATGATCAAAGGTTTGCAATTACTTTAAAAACTGACTTTGGTTTTTAGCTATTTTTGAAAGCATTCTCTGTAACATTCCATTCAATTCAACAAACATTTATTAAATACCTACTATGTGCAAGGCACTGTGCTAAGTCATGGGGATACAGAAGCAAAAAATAAAATCTTTGCCCCTCAGGCAGTTTACATTCAACTTAATATCTTCATGCCAACTTGTCTGCAAGAACTTTTAAAGTGGTAGAACTGACCTTAAAAATGTTAGAAACAATAAAATACTAAATATGGTATGAAACCAAAACCCTTTACAGAGTAATATCATCATCAAAATTCACATTATCATCACAAATAGTAAACTATATATCTCTTTCTTTGAAAAGAGATATCGCTTCCCTTAAAAGACACCTCTCTGGATAGTCACCTGCACTTCCTGGGTTGTTCTTTGCTTACAAATGGAATGCAGTAGCATCTGAGGCAATTAGTCCTGATTAATCCAAAATTCTTTTCTAGGCTCCTGAGACATATTTCTAGGCATTGATGATGCAGTCCGTGATGACAGAACAGGAGTGACAACAACCTGTATTTGGAAAGTGAATTTCAGTGCCAAACTCTTAATGAATTGGAATATGTTTTTCCTACATATATTGCTTTAAGCTTACTATAAACACTAGTTCATGGGTTTTCTTAGTATTGCTAAATAATGTTCTTGTTATGCCTTTATCTTCAGTTCAGTCATTTTTTGGTCATGTCCGACTCTTCATGACACCATTTGGGGTTTTCTTGGCAAAGATACTGGAGTGGTTTGCTATTTCCTTCTCCAGCTCATTTTATAGATAAGAAAATTGAGGCAAACAGGATTAAGTGACTTGCCTAGGGGTCACATAGCTGGTAAATGTCAAGTGTCTGAGGCCAGATTTGAACTCATGTCTGCCTGAATGGAGGACTGGTGCTCTATCCACTGCACCATGTAGCTGCCCCTATTTAGGATAATTTTTGAGTAACATCTTTTCCTTTCTGAAAAATAAAAATTTGAAAAGCTTCATATTGAATAGTTATTGCTCAGCCCTCCTGATGGGCTTCTGCTCCTTGTTAACTAAGCCTTTCTACAAAATAACTACTATTTACTTGTTCTAAAACTGTTTCTCTCCAGATTTGTCTTCTCTTGGCAACGTGTGCAAAATAGAGTCAACGATGTCACCTGTAGGGTTATCACTGTATAGCATGGGATTCTGGACACTGAATAGAAATTCTCATTTATGCTTCTTCCTCCAATATTGCTAAATGTATTCGTTTGCTCATTCAACATGTACTTATAAAGAACCCATTCTGTATAAAGCACCATGTAAGGTTCTGCATAGGTCTGTAAAGGCTAAAATGTCTGCTGCCTGGGTTTTTCTTATAAGCTGAGGGTATAGCACCCACCCACACAGACACACGTGCCTGTCCTTCAGGGCAATTACTTAGCTAAGAGTATTTTATTACATATTTTTGATAAAATGCAAATTCTCTAGTTTGACTAGAATGGTAGTTATAATTCTCTATGGTTAAATTGCTGGTTCTAATAAAGTTCCAGTCCAAGGGCATTTTCTTACTTGGGGCCTATAACATTTTCTCCTCATTGTGACCTGGAAATATTTTGTCCACTTTAAACTCTTGCTTCTCAGGATTCTGGTCTTTTGGAAATCTACCCATGTTTATAGTCTAATTGTACCACGAGCTCCTTTAGGAACATATTCTATTTCAATTAAATCACTGATAAATACTCTCATTTCTGCTGATGGTTTTAGTGAATGAATGTGCAAGAAACATTATTTTTCCCACTTTGCATCATTCTCTCCAGTCTGGCCTTTTTTTCTCTCTCTAATCTTCACTTTACTCGGATCTTTTGCTTGAAGCAATCTTCTTGATTGGGGCAGCTAAGTGCAGTGGGCTTGGAATCAGGAAGACTTATCTTCATGAGTTCAAATCTGGCCTCAAACACTTACTGTTTGCCTCAGTTCCTCATCTGTAAAATAAGCCAGAGAAGGAAATGGCAAACCACTGCAGTATCTCTGCCAAGAAAACCTCAAACAGGGTCAAGAAGAGTTGGACCCAATTGAAAAGACTGAACATCTTCATGACTGAATTCCTAAGAGGGCTTGTCTTTCTCAGGATCTGTCAGATTTTTCTACCTAGGTTTTCATTGTCACGTAGCCATTGGGAGCCTTCTGTTATAGAATCAATAATGGAGGGAGAAATATGGCATTTTACAGCGGTGGACCTGGAATCAGGAGTCTTGGGTTTAAATTCTTCCTCAGATACTTTGTGGTCATGGCTAAGTCACTTAACCTCTTAGTTCCATAACTGTAAAATTCTAACTATTTTCTAACTGTAACTTCATAGAGTTGAGAGGAAATCACCTTGTTAACCTTAAAGTGTTATAGAAATTTTTTTGTGTCATTTGCTTATGAAACAAAAAGTTCTTTAAAATTACCTTCAAGAGTCTTTGATGGCACATCAGTTTTAGATATTTCGGAAATGATTTTGTCAAGAACTTACTCCTACTTTCATAAAAGGTGCCTTGGGCCTACCTAATGCCTGTAGACTCTTAGTTAACTCTCTTCTTTAAAGTTTTCCACTGTGCCGCTGTTGCTAGCCTTTTGCCACCTTTCACGCCTCATCCACTTGTTTGGTGGGCCATTTCTCTAGTCTGACTCACAAATTTACTTGTGAACCATGGCAAAGTCACTTGACTTATTTGTTACTCAGTTGCCTTGTCTGTAAAAATGATGGGGTTGGACTTCTTGGCCTCAAAGTTTCCTTTCTAGTTCTAAATTTTTGCTTTTATGATTTTTTTCAAACAAGGGTAGACAGTGTGAAGTTTTGTCAGTTTGCTGGCCTAAGATATGTAATCGTTAGAGGGAGAAAAGTTAGGAAAGGGGTAATCAGAGAAAGAATCTGGCAGCCAGAGAGCATAGCAGGTATGGAATAAGAAGCACTGCACTTGTGAGTTGTCAGAACTGTGTTCTAGTCTCACCTTTGCTCCTTGAAACTCTGCAGTCTTTGACAAACAGCTATTCCTACTCACATCTTAGTTTCTTCATTTGAACAGGGCACACACACATGCATGTATGTATGCATGCATATGTGCACATGTGTGTGGCAGGAGTTGGATTAGATGACTTCTTAGGTCTCTTCCAAGGCAGATATTCTTTGACTTTCATCACTCAAAAAAAACACGGGTTAGCTAATAACTCAGTGGTATAACACTGGGAAGATCAGATTAAGTAATTTTGAACTTTATTCCTCTTTCCTTTTTCCTCTAGTCCTCCCTCCATTTTGCTTTAATTAAAACGTGTCAGGTGATTTTTTTCTTGAATTTTGAGAAATTTTTGTGTTTTCCATTCCCATTTATTTTTGTGACAATCAAATGTGATAACATAGGTAAAGTGCTCTGTAACCATAAAGCATTTTATTATTACTAATATTCCTCAAAAGACTACCAGAGGAATAACTATTAGCTCATGTAACCAGAGGCCTCACACTGGAAATTCAAAAGGTAGTTTGTTTTCAAGAAAATAAGTAGTTTCAAAGAAGGACCAATGATTGTCATGTTAGGACTTCATGGGTCTGGCTGGTTAGAGCAAGTCACCCAAACTCTTTCCCCACATACACATATGCCCATAAAATGCAAAATACACATCCTGCACATATGTGTTTAGGTACACACATAGAGTCACATACACAGAAATGAATTAATTTTTTTTTTCTCAGATAGGAAATGAAATTAGGCCGTAAGAGGAAGGTGCTATAAAATGCTAACCCCCAAAAAAGAGAGCAAGAAAAGGAACAATGAAACTTTACTTGCATCATCTCATCAATAAATAATTTACAGTATGTACATGCGGTGACACTCCACATAGGTTTTACACACATGGACATGGTGAGGTTTCTTCACCTTCAAGCAGAACTTGATCAAACACAACCAAAATAAAGTGCTTCACTTTTTACTCCCAACAGGATTTTCTTACAATGAGCAGGAAGGTGTTACCTTCCTGCTATGCTTGGTGGCTTTGGCAGAGAGAACTAAACTTCTTGGAGATAAGCAAGTCCTTGCTGCCAGGAAGGTCCTGGACCCATGGAGCCCATGCATGAGAGGTCCTAAAGGGAACAGCCTCCAGGAAGGCAGTTGGTAGCTCCCTTGGCAATGCTTATTGGCTGATATGTTGAAAGTCCTTCTGGGTAAAGTGTTTTATGGGCTGGGGCTGGGGGAGGTCCAGTTAAGAGGCCAGCCCCAGAGCTGCATGGGCTGGGTTGCCTTTTCTGTGGGACACCTCTGAAAGGCTGCATTTTCCAACACAGATTTTCAAGGGCCATCTCTCTACATTTAGAGAAATTCTCATATCCTTTCTATAGAAGAAGTAGAGGTGATGGCTGTAAGTTCAGGCTGATGTAGGAGTTGAGAGATTTTCTCCTCTCCTCACCCACTACAGTAAATTGTGAAGGGCCAGCAAGGAAGATTTCCTTCCATTCCAACCTCCATAGGGAGCCAAGGACCCTGCGTTTGGGGAGGGCAATGGGAAGGGAAGGGTAGGTATCAGTTGGGCAGACATGTCAGATCTGCCCTCCTGAGGTCCAGAATTCAGCAGCAGTAGGACAGGGAAGCAGAGGAAAGGCTGCCATTTCATGGAGAGAGGCAACAAATGATTTTCTGAGGCCAGGAAACAGGAAAATGGAGGTGAACAGGGCAGGCCAGCTGGCCCTATCCACTATGGTGTCTCCATGGCTTGCCCTGTTACTGTATTCCTACTCTACATCTCCCTCTCAAGTAACACTTGCCATCACCACACTAGGAAGGAACAGAAGTAGTAAACACATCTTTTTCTGTTTAAACATTTAAAACCAATTATATCTCTTCATATGTACAGTCACGCTGGGGGAGAGAATTAATGGAAAGGATTCTGTATACTGGAGACAATATAAGTCACTTCTAAGAACACAAGTCATATTTCTCTGCTGTTTGCAAATGGAGTTTCCTTCTCTGTCATGACACACTGTCACTTAGGGATGCCATCAGGAAGCTCGGGTGAGCTGTATGGGTATAAGAACCAAATTCTTTGAGCTCTTAGCACCTCCAGCACCTGCAAATCCATGAGCAGAGAAAAACAGGAAACACCTTCTGGAGATGGCAAAAAATGCACCAACACAAGGAACACACCTATAGTTAGGCACCACCAGGATTTCCTCAAACCCAACTTTTCTTGGGCCCTATACCCCTGCAGACCGTGAGAGAGAATGCATATAGGAAGGAAACTCATTAGTGGAAGACCTCTGAAATTTCTGTGTTTATGTATGAGTGCCTATAAATGTGCTGTGTGGCTGTGGGGTATTCATCAGTATGATCATGAGGCTGTGTGTGTGTGCATGTGCATGTGTGTGTGTGTTTATCTGTCAGTAAAAACCTGTGCATGTCAGGGTGAATCTCTGTCCACTGTTTCAGTGCATTTTAAATGTGCATGCATTTGGCTGTTCAAAGTGTGTGTGTGTGTGTGTGTGTGTGTGTGTGTGTGTGTGTGTTTGTATGTGTATGTGATCTGAGAAACAAGAGTCTAATTTAGTGTTCCATGAGGCACACAGTGCAGGATGTCTTATGGTTTGCACATTCATGCTATGGGGAGGGGGGCAAGGAGTTTGGGGGATAAAGGATCTTTTTCACTCCCATTTGTGAAATGGCCAGGTGACAGCAGCCACCCAGTATTCAAACACAATGCTACTTTCACAAATGCCAACGTCACAGTCACTACAGCCTCGTAGCACTACTAAGAGCAGTAACTAGGCAGTGGGCAGTAATGCCCGCTACCCTTGCCAGCAAAGGAAGCAAAAATCTGTCTATGTGAGGTAACAGTCTTTCACCAACCTGCCTATTGGATCACTACATTCCCATCTTTTCTCTTTGGAGGGAAAAGACAGGTGACAGAGATGTGAGAAGATTTCTTCTGCTCCCTGGAGGACTCACTAGTCATTCCCCTCCCTTCTGACCAGGTCCTAAAAGACAGGTGTTCCCAAGGAAGGGGGTTGCTCTCTCCTCCCACTCTAAAGTCTATTTCTTCTAGGCTGCACAGCAAACACCTAAGAGAACACTGAGACCAAACACCACAGTATGGCCACAAAGGAAAGGAGGAGCTCCTGGCACTGCCCTGAGGCTGCTGCACTGCCAGGCAAGTCCCGTGTCCTTTCATAAAGGTGCAATTTGTCTTTATTGGAATGCAGCATCTTGACGTCCTCAAAGGCGTAGTAAGCAGCGAGTGTGAAGTTCACATCCCCTGTGGTCAACAGATCAAACACGCAGGCCTGGAAGTAGAGGTCCTCTACTGGAAGCTTCTCCTTACATCTGGCCGTGGCTGTCTCATAAGTAAAGACCTGTGGAGAGGAAACAGGAGTGCCAGGTCCCTTTCTCCGGGTACTCCAGCTCTCTGTGGCATGGAAGGCTTGGAAGTCAATCTGCTCATTAAGGGGACAGCCCCGGAGACAGAGGTAGAGGCCCTGGTTGTCCCTGTCCTCTACCGCATTGACTACCTCTTCTGGCATGCGCACGGCAAAAGTCAGGTATCGGCCCACCTGCCTCACAATGATGGTGGTGCCGATGTACTTGGCCTGGATCTCTATGTGCTGGCCAGACACCTTCTCGGTAATCTTCAAGCTGTTGGCCCCATGCTTGTCGCCACCATTCTTGGAGCCATCAGCAAATGCTGCAGGGAGTTCATCCATTTCTGCCTGGTATACCTTCTGCTCAACACATTCCTGGAAATTCTTGAAGATGATTGTTAGCTGGCAAGAAGGAAGCAAGGGAGAAAAGTGGTTAAGGTTACAGTCCTATTTATTGACTTGCAAAAATAATCAAGGAATTAGGATTATTTAGTTTAGAAAAGAAATATTGGAAAAGATTATTGTCTTCAAATGAATAAAAAAGCTATTATGCAGAGACCTGCTAGCTTCTAGTTACAGTAAATATAGAACTAGGCAATGTGGGTTTAACACGTGGCATTAGAGATTTGACAAAAATAATTTCTGGACACTAATGATTGTTAGATTTTTCTCTGTTCAAGACAGATTCTTGTATGCTTAAAGTGCTAAAAAAAAAAAGGGGGGGGTCTGTTTGGAGATGGAGGAATAATTATATGAAATCTTAGGATCTTTTACAGCTTTGAGATACTGAGTGATGGTAGATTACCAGCACTCTCCTCTGAAGACATGCATCATGCAGAACTGAATTCTCTTCCTTGATGATATAGGCATCAAATTTGCTCACATAAGCAGTCACATGGACACCCAACAAGCCAGTTCTTGTCCTCAGGGCACCTTGCAACCTTTCTTCCAACAGCCAGTTCATGTCCTCAAATCAGAAGAAGGCTAATACACAAATCCATGAAGTATTCTGTATTTTTCTATCTCCCTCCTTCGAAAACTTTGTAACTTTTGTTGTACTGATTATATTCTGTCTTATTTATTTCTCTACTAGTCTTTTCTCTCTAATGGCATTTTGAATTTCTTGAAAGCAGGGGCCATGTCTTATTTATTTTCATATATCTCTTTCAGAGTCAGTATCTTGCACGTGGAAGGTGTTTAGTAAATAAATATATTTAATTGAATCATAAAATACAGGCAGGTGGTCACCCTAAATGCTGCCTGCTTCTCTTCCCTCTTTACAACTTGGCATCATTTCCAGGGCATGGCCTTAGACTCTTAAGGAGAATTTGAAGTGGAATGGGCCAATAGGAAGCACTTGGCCCCTAACAGATTTTGTGGTCCCTGAAGATGGGAATCTAATTTCAAGTGGTTCTACTGCAGTTCGAGGTTACTTCTCTAGTTAAAATTTTTAAAAAACGTTTTTCTCTCTATGCCAATAAGTAAAGCACCTCGAAGGTGGGACCATAGTTCCTTTGTTTTTGCAGTAACCTCAAGTTTTGCTCAGAGCTTCAAACACTACTGCCATTTAGCAAGAACTAGTAATAATCAGATAGTAAATGAGCACATACTGTGGTCATTCGCTAATTACACTGTCTCCTTTTCAGGCCTGCAGTTCTGCCAACGGACTAGCACATTAAAGGTAGCTATCATCTGGCTATTATCATGGTTAAACAGCTTTGGTAGTGGACAGCTCCTGCAGCTATTTTTTTGCTTGAGTAATTATTTAATCCTGTGGGAAGATGCCACCCTATTGGAAAATGTATTAAACAGAGGGAAAGGAACACTCCTCTCCCACTGCCCTAACCCTTTGGTAGTGGGCAGTATTCAGGACATAAATAACACCTGAATTGTGTTCCTTGGCTTAACTTAATTACAAATGTAGTCCCTGCCTCTTGGCTCCAGGAATCCTCTGTTTGAGGACAACTAGAACACAGAACTTTGAACTAGAGACAGGCAAAGGGAGTGAAGAAAAACATGTCTTTTCCCTTCACCTCTGTCTGAGAATCTTTATTCTCCTTTAAAGTAAAGCTAAGCTCTCACCTACCCTGGAAGCCTTCCTTAATCCCCACCTCCCTAATTGTTAATGTTCTCTTTCCTCAAATTACCTTGAATTTACTTATCTGCATACATGTTGTATCTTCCCCAAGTAGGTCGTAAACTCCTCGAGGGCAGAGTTTTAATTTCTGTATTTGTATCTCCAGCACCTAGCATAGTGCCTTGCACATAACAGACACTGAAAAAATGTTTCTTGAATTGAACAATCCAAACTTTGATTTATTAAAGGGGAATTCACTGGTTAGGAGCAACAGGAACTAGGGTTGGGTACTTGGGAGTTATTTGAGAATTGGGTACTTCCTGCATTCAACTGTTTACCTTAGAACCTACGGTAACTCTATAGGCCTTTTAGCTACTTTCTAGTACCTCTTCTTCTCCCTCAATTTCAAACCGTCCATGACTCTTAGCTGTAGAAGTTTTATTGGATGAAACCTGGTTGGCCTGAGCCTCTCTGAAATTCCTATCAGTAAGGTGACCCCACTCCAAGGGAGACCTGAACCGTTAGCACCTGCGGGGAAAAAAAGCTGGAAGCCTGGGTGCCTTTAGGATGAAATACCTCTCTCTCCAAAAACTGTGGATAATGGAATGGGTGCTAAAAATCAAATGTGGAATCAAGAATTTTAACATTCATGAAGGCTGAATAGGACTTAAGGCAAGAAGATAGCTATATTTTACACACTAGTTGCTATCTGACAGATGTGCAAGAGATGCCAGCTTAGGATAGGAGGCTTTGGAAATTCAGGCTACCAGGAGGAACGGAATTTCTGGACCGAGCCAGTAGTAAGGCTGTTGATGTTAGAGTGGTAGTAATAGAGAGGAAGCTCAGATGAGCTAAGGGGGCTTTTAAAAATGAAATACAGTGGTGGGATTTATCAGAAGGAAAGAGAACCCAGGATAAGCTAATCCAAGTTGGAAGAGTGGGGCAAAGGGCCTACCAAAAAAAAAAGCCTTAAGAACAAGGGACCCCGAAAAGAGCTAATCAAAACAAAACAAAACAACACAGGTGGGAATCAACTCAGGAAAACTTAGGGGCTTAGTGGCCATAATTAAGATAAGGGTTATCAGAGATTTCTTAAGATAGAGCTAAGGGAAGTTTTTGGTTGAATGAATCAGGTGGGAGGCTGCTGAGAAAATAGTTCTGACCTAAAGTCAAGGAAGGCTGGGGACTGGTAAGATGAAGAATTATATAGGTCCTGAGACACAAGGGCATACAATGAAGGATTCTACTTAATACTACTTTTAAAAAAGATATAGGTATTTTTAATGCTAGAAAATTCTTTCAACAACATATCAGGCTTTATTTTGTGAAAGTAAATTTGCATATAAAGGACTTTGGTGAAGACTAAAACTCTAGGATATGTGAAGAATTATGGGCTGCTGTGTGCCACAATTTTTAAACCTTGCCTATGGCACACAAATGTTTTCTTTTATCTTTGCTTGGGACCCTCTCTCCAAAAAACAAGCCCACTTTCCAGTGGGGTATAAAGGGCTGAGAAAGAGAGAGATTTCATTTTGAGAAAACAAAAAGTCTGACAAAAATAAAACTGAGGCCCGAAGATCAAGATCTGAAGAAGGGGTCAGTAGACTGATAAATATTAAACAAAAAAGTACCTGCAGTTAATGTTTAATGATTTAACTTGTACTAAGCTAATAGTGGAATTCAAGATTTACTTTCAATTTGCAATGTGTAATCACAGATTATTTCACACCATTGTAAAGCTTTAAAACTTTGCTGGACCATGGTGGAGATCAGGGAAGGGGTACCAGTGGGAAGAAATGAAAGTTGGGGAAGGTTATAAACTTCGGGCATGGTTTTGGAAGGGAAACCTACCCTCTGAGACCATGGGTTGTGCTAGCAGAATGTTAACCTAAGCAAGTACCAGGTTCCTTCTCCATTCTATCACATTCTACCTAGGGAAAATCTGCCCCCCCCATCCGCCCAGGAGATTTTTTTCACGTGTGTATATGTGTGGAGAGGACACTGGGGTGAGAGGAGGATGTATAAAGGGATAGAACTGCAGCCTCTAAATGATAAAAGCTACAAAGTTTAGGGATTTATTGCTTTTTAGATGGCAAAGCCTGCTACTTGCCTCTCCATCCATTTTTTTGTAAGTCCATTTAATTTTCCTGCTTTATCTCCTTTCAACTTCCTTTCCTCTCCACATAGTAGGTAGATGAGGCTATCTAGCATGGCTGTATCTAATTGTAATGTTGTTCAGTTGTTTTTCAGTTGTGTCTCATTTTTTGTGACCTCATTTGGTTTTTTGTTTGTTTTTGGCAAAGATACTGAAATGGTCTGCCATTTCCTTCTCCAGATCATTTTACAGATGAGGATACTGAAGCAAGCAGGATTAAGTGACTTGCCCAGGGTCCCACAGCTAGTAAGTGTCTGAAGTTGGATTTGAACTCATGAAGATGAGTCTTCCTGATTCCAAGTCCAGTGCTCTACTACCCATGTGACACCTAGCTACCAACATCTTTGTGTGATAATATGTGGCTACCACTGCACCTAGAAGGGTGAAACAATGAACAATCTCATATTTTGGACACAGTGCCAGCTGACAGTCATAGGCTGTTTATTTGGAGGTAAGACTATGGCTGGGAAGAGCATGAGGGAAAGGGAAGCAGAAATGAGTGGCAGCCCTACTTGAAGGAAGTCTAATCCTCCCTGATGTCTCCAACAAACCCTACAGTTTGTAGGGCCACACAGGCTTGGGGGAGCCTCCTCACTGGGTCCCAGCAGGCTCCCTGGAAGAAACAGGAAAGGCTGGTTTAGACTCTAACTACCATCTCTCATGGAGACAGTCCTCTGGATGGCTGACAAGCTCCTGAGATTTTTCTTAGCATTAGTGCCAGGGAATGAACCACAAGTAACAGCACGAAGGGGGCTTGTTGAAAAGTAGGATCCAGTGCCAACAATGAGGAGGAGAGAGAGGATGAGGGGAAGGGAGAGGAGAGAAGAGGAGAGGGAGAGGAGAGGAAGAGGAGGGGAGGAGAGGGAAGGGGGGGAGGGGAGAAGAGAAAAACTTTCCATGGATCTACTTGCTGTCATTTTCAGCTATTTCCAACACTGTTCTCCTCCCAAAGGAATCACTTTATTCTATTTCTTTGCTGAACTGGCTGGTCCATGCTTATTGGAACTTGTTCTTGACCAGGCACCAATTTATGTCAGAGACACAGAAATGAATGGATGTTAGTTTCACTCTATTCTACCTACCAGCTTACCCCTATGTAAGAGAGCGGGCCAAGCACAAAATTTACCATCCCACTGCTACAGGGTGGTAAATTCTCATTCCAGTCATTTTCTAATTATCATCCCTAATGAAGGACATCAGCAGCATATAGAATTTTTTAAAAAATGAGCAAAGGAGGGGGAAAGGACTGAGACCACCCAAAAGGTTAAAGACTAGATATTGGCTTTCAAGGATCTTATATCCAAGTTGGGGATACAGACAGATATATGCACGGTGTATAGGATGTATATATGTGTAAAATACTTACAAAGAGGTATATAGGTATATCTCTATACCTATACACCCCCCCACCCCATACAAATCCATAGAAGAGGGAATATAATATGGTATAGTGTTAAGAGGGTGGGATTCGTATCAGGCTATCTTAGTGAGATTCCTGCCTCAAATACTTATTCGATATGGGATTCTGATCAAGGCACTAAACCTTTAAAACTTTGCCCATAAAGTGGGGATATCAATACTTCTGCTACCTATATCATAGGGCTGTTATAGAGAAATCACTTTGTAAACCTTAAAGGGCTATGAAAATGTGAACTACTATTATAATGTCAGGCAATAAATAAGCTCCAAACAGACAACACATAGGTGTTGTGAGAGATCAGATGAAACATCAATTACATATTATGACTGGGAACAATTGTGAAAGAATTTATAGAGGAGGTAGGATTTCAGTTGATGTCTTGGAAAGCAGGTATAACTGGATATATGGAGAGAGGAAAGAAGAACATTCCCAGTCTTGGAGCAGGGAAATGTAAGGTTTGCATGGGGCTGGATCATGACCTTGAATGCCAAACCAAGGAGTTTGGACAAGAAGAAGTCGATCCATGTTTTTAAGAAGAGAACAAGAAGATAAAAATGGTATTTTTAGATTAGTCTGGAAGTTGCTTACAGGATATATCAGACTGAGGCTGACATTTTGTGGGGTAGGAGACCAGTCATCTGGGACTTAAAATCTGCCTACTAAGTAGAAGCCACTGTGCTAGGCATTGGACGTAAAGCAGGAACAAAATAATCCCTGACCTCAAGGAATTTACATTTAATGGAATAATCCACATACTGGTCTAATGGTACTAAACAGAGGGTCAGGAGACCTCCACTGATTTGGAACAAATCCTTCAAGTCCTCTGCACTTCCAATGTCTCATCTATAATATAAAGATTATAATAATACTCTCCCAGTATTTGGACTAATGTGAAGGCACTTTGAAAATTAAGACTATGCAAATGTAACCAGTGGTGTTACCCCAAAGAGGCATTTAATTAATGCTGCTTGGCATCAGAAGGGTATCTTTTCTGACCATTTCACTTCATTCTTGGAAGGCAGAGGTGATAAAATATATCCATTGCTTCCAGGTTAAATGGACTAGTAAACTCAAGCAAGAATGGGAAACTTTCTAGTGCATTGGGGGGGGGGACACATTCAAGGTCATGGGGTGAGCTATGCACCAAGAGAAGAGAACTCAGGTTTCCCGAACCCCAGATTAGTTCATAATGTATCTCCTAACCTAGAGCTGAAAAGGTTGAAAAATATAGAATCTGCAATTAATCAGTTGAGAGGTGGCAACCCAGCCTCAGTCATGAACAGTGATACATGTGAATACAATGGAGGATCTGTGATGTGGTCAGTATGGGGAAGAAAGTCTATAACTTAATATACAAACCCTAGGGAAGTATTTGAAGTACAGTGAATGCTTCAGTGGCTTGTGCTGGATCACAAAACAGATGGGATTTGGATAGAGGTCTTCCGGACTCTAAGCCCAGGGCTCTATCCAGTGTATCTTATGCTTCTATAAAACAACAATAATTATAATGAATACAATTTGCTTTATTTAGTGTTTTGTTTTCACTTACTATATCACTTGATCCTCACAATAACCCCATGGAAGAAACTGTCCTTGTCCTATTTCATTATTGTTCTGGATAAAACCAGTAGCTCGACAGCCAGACAGTATTTGGGATATGTCACCTCCTGTACTATGACTGGGAGTCTGTAACTTAATTTACTAGTTGCTGAGGTTGGTTCCCTGTGTTCATTTGTCTTGGCTCTTGGGAAGATTAGCAGAATGTAGGAGAGAAGACTGCACATGGTGAATTGTGTAGTCTTGTGCTCAGAAGGAAAATGAAGAATGACTCAGAGGAATAATAAAACAAGGATTCATGGCACCCCTCGTTAAACACTGGGAGCACAGAAGTAGGTAGAGAAAGATGTGTACAGCCTCCATATAAGGGCTGAGAGCAAGGCAGGGCTTTTGTATTGGAATAGGTTAGCGATTCTTGGTGAGATGGTCTAAATCCCTGCTTTCTAGTACAAATTGTGGGGTCTGGGAAAGAGACACCTTTATTTTGGGATATATAGGCACAATGAGGATAAGGAAAGAGCAGGCACTTGCCCTGGATGCAGAAGAATCCAGCATTTATCATTAGCCTCAGTCACTTACAAAGTTTCAATTTTAAGGGGTGGGTGGGAAAGGGAATAGAAGAGACAGAAACTCCCTTGTGGACCAGGCCTGGTTCTCCCTGGCACGCCTTCCAATGCTCTCTCCACAGAAAAACAAACTGCTGCCATTTTTGGTTTCGGATGAGTTGGACTGATGGTCATTCCTTCTCTCCTGCCAAATGGGAAACCCCCCTGGGGAAATCAAAGGAGACAGCAAACACACCAAAACTCCGGTGGGCAGAGGATGGTGCAGGGCCTGCAAGGCAGGAGATCTAAACCCTGTCCTTAGGCCAGCCCAGAGACCAAGAGCAACTTCAGCCAGCCACTTTATGTTCCTGGGATTCCAGGCTCTCTCCATCTATAAAATGAGTCAAAGAAGATTTTTTTTTTAGAATATTTTACTACTCACTAAAAATTTTTGTACAAAGCAATTGGAGAATCTTGGCATAAAGTTATTCCATGGGGAAGAGATAATATATTTGCAGTGTAAAGAGTACTGGTTTTAGAGTAGAAGTCCTGTATTCAAATCCCACCTCTGCCACTTACTAACTTGTGTGACCCTGAACATTTAAACTCTTTGGGCCTCAGTTTCCTCATCTGTGAAATGGAATTGAAATAGAGGACCTCCAAAGACCCTTTCAGCTCTAAACAGAGGATTCGTATTATGTACTTGTAAAAACACTAATACCAGAGCAGCTAGGATAGAGCACTGGCCCTGGAGTCAGGAGGGCCCGAATTAAATGTGGCCTCAGACATTTACTAGCTATGTGACCCTGGGCAAGTCCCTTAACCCCAACTGCCTCTAAACCCTGTCCCCCCAAACCCCAAAACATTAATACCATTTGTGTTTAAAATCACTTGATTGTCTGCTATCATAGGAATGTATAAAGTAGTGAATATATTAAAATCACAAACTTGGTACAGCCTCCGCCTTTCCCATTCATGTCATTCTTTATCATCTCCTATTCTTAGTTGCATCTATGATTATCTACTTATTTATGGCTCATTTTTCTAAAGAGCATTTTATAGATGTATTCATATAAATTTTAACTTTTCTTGGTAGGGTAGTTACCAGACAATGAATTCATTTTTTAGTTTTTTGAATGACTTTCCCACCTTCTGTTGGTTTTTTTTTACAAGTAATATGCAGAAAAGATGATTTTTTTGTGGATTAGTGTTTTAGCTTTCTATTTTATAGATGTATTTAATTCTTTTGATTAATATTTTTGTTGAATCCCTGGGATTCTATAAACAAACCATTATATTAGCTGAAAAATAGCTACCTCTCCTTTGTCTATGTTTTTCCTTAAATTTCTTTTTCTTACCTTACAAGAATAGCCAGCATTTTAAAAAATGAAATCATACAAGAACAGCAACAATGAGCATCCTTGCTATTGCCCTAATTTTATAACATTTACCAATTTATGACAGGGGTCAAGCAACTCTCCCACCCCCAGAAACCACCATTAGGGTGCTCATAGATTCCATTGACAGGCAGGCATTAGTCATAGGCAGAAAGAGGAAAAAAAAAGGAATGGGAAAAAAAAAACAAATCATAAAAAGGAAGGAAGGAAGAAAAGAATAGATAAGGGAAAAAAGAAAAAGAGAACTTATGTCACAAATCACTTGGCACTTATGATCATATATGTATCATTTCTTAACCTTTCCTTGTGAGTATATGTATTTGTGTGTGTGTGTGTGTGTGTGTGTGTAACATATGTCTTTTTTAGGCTGTGAGTTCCTTGCGTCCTGACACTTATATTTCTGTGGATGCTCTATAGCACCTTTTTTTCCCCTTCTCTATATAGCACCTTTTAATCAATGCCTTATTAACTACTTGTTAATTTGATGAATGATAAAGAAGTTCACATGGGAATGGGAAGTGATATCACACCAATAATTGCTTCTGGTGGCACTTACTGGTACAAATACCATAGGTAGCCAGCTCACTCTTGGTCTAGCACTTAAAGTCTGGCCAGGATACTCAAAGCATCCGAATGTTAACAGTAACACCAAAAGGTGTCACTTTATCTTCCTGCAAGGATAAACAGGAGGATCCTGCAGGAGACAGTGCTTGATGGTTCCAGGTAGGCTAATCTTAGTACTTTCCTTCTCACAACAAATTACTTATTTTCTTCCTTAGCCACTGGTGCAGGAGGAGGAGAAGGGTGGGGGTGGGGTGGGGCGGAGAGGGAGAACTGCTATGGAATAAGTTCTCTCAAGTCTGAGAGTTATCTAAAATCATATAAAAGAGCTGGGGCTGTCCAGCTTCATGCTGCACTGTGACCTTACCTTGCTGGTCGCTGTAGCTGAAGATCCTGGTAGCACTGGAGTGTTGGTTACCTGCACATTCAGGTAATTATTGTCAATGAGAGGCCAAGCCCCTCGTACTTGGCAGGTCTGAAATCGGTCCGTGAAAGTTCTGAGGTGAGGGTCCCCAAACAACCCACAATGGGTATAGTTGGGGGGAGCTGAATGTTTATGAAAGCTCTTTTCATAATGACAGATTTCAGGACTGTCTGACCTCTCCTGACTGTCTCCTGGTGGGAGGGTTCGGAGCCGGGGCTGTGAGGTGGGACCATCCTTGGAGCAATTGTGCTGGCTCATTAGGTCTTCTATGCCATGGACAGCTGAATGGTAGGCCAGGTCCCCTCTGCACGTGCGGGCTGTGCGCCGGGTACAGTGAGAGTAAGCACGAAGAGCAGTGCAGAATTCAGGGGTGTCTTCAGATCCGGGGTAGTGAGTGCCTGATGTAGCTGTCCAGAACTCTGAGTTACACTTGAGGATCTTGCACTGAGAAGTGGCTGTTTAGAGAGTACAAATACATCACTATGGGGATATGTACCAGCCATGTTGCATTTTTCTCTTTCTAGGTTAGGAGCACAGTAGCAATAATAAGGCTGAACAGATCAATATTCCATAATACTGGTAGAACCTTCTAACTGGATTTTGTCCCAATGCCAGGGAATATACTTTTCCTCTCTCCATTCTCCTTCACCCCACAGCTTCAGTCTTTCTTTATGTCTTCATTGACCACAAATGGCGGTTCTTAGTTGCCAAGTGTCATGTAGAACGTACTGGGAGTATACAAAGTGTCTAGATTGCTAAGTCTCTTGGCCTCTCTAGTACGCAGTTTCCTCACTTGTAAAACTCTACTAGGAGGTTCTGGAGTCAATCAACCTGCCTGGCAATTGTATGGCTGCAAGGAACAATCAATAATGCTATATTTTTGTAAATGCCACTAATAAAAGCTCACTAATATTGACCCACAAAGATCTATTTCTGAGGGCAATTTTTGCAGCCTTTTGGGTGGTGGGATGGCAAATGCCCACATAAAAAGACAGAGCTAGAAGATCTCCAGCCTTCTTATATGCTCATTTTTGATCACAATTTCCAGGATTGTGAGTAAAACCTGGATGTCTCAGACTCATCCCAGCGTTCACATATGACTATTATGCTCTTTGTGGGGAGATTTTATACTGGTGCACAGAAATTCCTGGTTAAGACCATTTATATTTAATACCTATGCAAGGCGAAGCTCTTTCTATTTCTGTGTATGTGTGTATATGTATGTGTGTGGAGGGAGTGGATGTAGAAGAATGTGGCCATGAATAAGACTCAGTCCCAGCTCTCAAGGAACTCATTATCTTGCACTGTTTATCTTTTCTAAATGACACCATTAACCTAAAGCACAGGTTGTATGATGTAGTGTACCCAAGATATGGTAGTATTTTAAACCACTAGGTTTAAAGATCCAAAAATACAGACAGCTAAGGTTGGTGGGTGGGGGTGAGTAGAATGAATGCTCTAGAGGAAAAAAGTACAAAGAAACCAACTCCGATAGCTATTAATCACCAGATCTCCTATGCTAGCCATCTAACACAATGCCTATTCCAATACCATAATTAATTCTGGGAGTAGTGGGCTGACCTGTAATTCCTAGGGGCCCATCACCTTCTTAGGATTAAGGAGAGATATGATATCAAAGAAAATTTTGTGAAAAGGATGTAGGCCCACGTGCTAATTGACCAGCAACCTTGGGTGCCAGCATAGGAAACAGATCAACTCTGCTGATAAGCTACTCAGCCTTTCATGAAGGTGGGATCACCCTTAATTACTTACACACACACACACACACACACACACACACACACACACACACACACACGACATTGCTCCTAGGACAGGATGCATACCTTTTGTGTTATGTCTGGGATGATGACCCCATTCATTTCACCCCAATATTGCTAATATCACCACTGTGCACTAACCTAAGATAGCGTTAAGCTATAGGTAATACTTTTGTTATTTTGCTTTCCCAAGTGTAATCACCCCAGACTTGGTGAAAGGTAGTCACAAAATCTCAAAAGGCAAAAGAAACTTCAGAGACTGTCTGCTCTAACCCCTATCTAAACAGGAATATCTATCACCCAGCCCCTTCCTGCCTTTCTAATCTTCTGATACATTATTCCCTTTCATGCATTCGATAGTTCAGCTGTACTGGCTACTTGCCAATGCTCACATACAACCTTCCACTTCCTCTCTCCACATCTTTGTTCCCAGAAGCTTTCCTTCCTCACTTCTTCCTCTTGGAGTCTTTGGCTTCTTTAAAGACTCAACTCAAGGCTCACTTTCTGTAGGAGGTCATTCCTGGTTCCCTCAGCAGCTAGTGCCTTCCTGCCAAGGTTACCTTTTGTCTGCTTTGTGTGTGTGTGTGTGTGTCTTGTATATACTTATATATCTCTCTATGTCACCCTTGATAGAATGTAAGCTCCTTGAGGCCAAGAAATGCTTGATTTTTACCATCATATCCCAAGTAACTGGCACTGTGGTAGGTACTTTAATGCTTATTGACTCGTCTGATAAGCAGTCATGTTACTTGAAGACCTCAAGTAAAGAGAAACCCATTACATCCTGAGGTAATACATTCTTTATGTGATTAGCACTAAATGTTGAAAAAATTTTCCTTATAGCAAATTTAAATATGACTCTGCAACATCTATTCATTGTTTCTAGGTCCAAGCATAACATATTTGACCTGTTTTCAATGTGTAATCCTTCAGATTCTTAAAATAGCTGTCATATGCCCACTTAAACCTTCTTTAGGCTAAGTATCCCTAGTTTCTTCAACTGATCTTCACATGGGATAACTCTGAGGTCTTTCACCATTCTGGCTATCCTCCTAGGGATACTTTCTAGCTTAAAATATGGGATATGCTATGTCACTTGGCTTATACACTAACTTAAACCTAATACATGCTACTATCTGGTAGATCCAAATCGAACTGTGACCCAGATAACAGGACTATAAATCACTTTAAAATATGTAAGCGAAATTCCACTGAGGCATTTCAGGAAGGCATCATAAAACACAGGAAGAATGGAAGAAGAGCTTAGAGTGAGTTCTGCTAAAACCTAAATGTGATTTCCTTGAGGTGGAATATAGTCTAGTGCTCTTAACACTATATCTCCTCTGGATGGCACATTGAAGTTCTTCCTCTACTCTTCATCATCTTCATCCAGCTTGCTAATGGTGGGAGTTCTACAGGGCACTCCCCTGAGCATTCTTCTCTTTTCCCTTTGTAGCATTATAATTGGTGATCTCAATAACTTCCATGGAGTCAATGATCATATCAATGCTGACGACTCTCAGAATTGCAGCCTCTCCAACCCTAACCTCTCAGGAGACCTCTAGTATCACCAGCCTACTGAACATCCTAATTGGATGTCCTATACACACATCTTGGCATATCTATAACTGAACTCATTATCTTTCCCTCCAAGCCCTCTTCTCTTAAATTCCCCATTACTGATAAAGTCAGAAATAGAACTCTGACTGGTTTAGTGAATTCCTAAAGCTAACACCGAAATTCTATAGGCTAGATTTGTCATGCAGCAGGAGACACTACTAAGGGAGGTACAACATAAAATCTATCTTCCTTTTCTCTCTATGACAAAAGGGAAATTGGCAAAGAGGTAAAACTCTTAGGAGATGACTAAAAAATTGGGAATTCAGCTATCTTATCTGGGACCTAGAAAAAATTGTCAGGTATACCTTCTTAATTAAACTTTGACTGCATTCCCCTATCTCTTAAGCACACAGTACTATCTCATTTCTAAGTTCAAAACAATCAAGAGATAAACTATATACAGAAATAACCTACTTTTCCCAGTAGCTTACCTAGTTAAAGAATCATAGATCCAAGAGATAGAAGGGACCTAAAAATAACAATCTCCCAAATTACAGATGAGGAAACTGAGACCCAAAGGAGTTGGCTGGCCCCAAGTGTCAGGTAGTAAGACCAAGGGTCAGAATTTGAACTCAGGTACTCTTATTAAACTCAGTATTCTTTCCACTGAGCCATGATGCCCCTATTTTTCACCTATAGGGAAATAAATGTCTTCAAAAATTTATTTTGTCTGGATATATTTCCTCAGTGTGAGGAAGAACCAGTTTCCCTCCCCTAATGAAGATCAACAGCTCTTCTATAACTGAATAGTCTTCAAGAGTTGCCTGTGACATTTAAAGTTAATGGACTTGCACATGGTCACATATGACACATGACACATATGTGTCAGAGGCAGGTCCTTTCTACTTAAAGCTCTTTTGCTCAAAGTCATGGTCCAGTAGGACAGAGAGGAGGTGGTAAAGGGAGTCAGCAGTGTTCAACATATAGGAGATGAAGATTCACTTATACCCTTTGTCCCATTTCTGCATCCTCTTCTTTGGTGCTACAACCACGAGAACAGTTTTGTCTTTCTCCTTTACTGGCGTTAGCACTCAGACAACAGAGTAGACATCTGTTTCACGTTTTCAAGATCATAGAGTTCTTTCAACCTACTGGTCAAGCCCCTTCCTGGATATGTGTCTCCACATGACCAGTTCAATATTATAATTGTTTGGGATATGCAGTTTCCACAAGCACCTAGAGGTGACTTGCTTGGCAGCCTGTTGGCAATCACAATTTCACTTTCATTAGAGAGGTGCCATACCAACTGTCACTCCTCTCCCATGATGATCTTCCTCAGTCCTCCAACCTTTTCTACTGCAGAAGCTTATTGTGTCAAAGTAAAACTTATTTAAAATGAGGTCAAAGAAGCATATTTATTCAATTGTATATAATCTATTTCCCAGTTACTCTTAATAGACCGGCTTTTAACTAGACCTGAAATTATTTCCTCTGCTCCTGTTGCTCAGGGACTGTGGGAGCTGTAGGGAGGCAATGAGGTCCTTATTCCTCTGCTTAAAGACCCTTTACCTCACCTACCATTCTGCATTATCTAACTTTTCCTGGGGTTTCTACTACTTTTCCTGGCCCTAGGGTCCTGTCTAATCCATTGGTATTGACAAATATTGACTTGGCTTTCTCTCATATCATTTCTTCTACCTGGCTGGAGTGGGATACTTCTATTCCTAGCTAAGATTGCTCCATTCCCACATTTCAAGATAACCTGAAACAACCAATTCTCCAAGAAATTACCTCTGAAGGAGCATAGTTGAAAATTGAGAACCCCAAAGGCGAATTTCAGTAAGACTGCCTTTCATCTTGGTAATCCTAAAAATTAATAGCCTCTTAGTAATGTAGGTGCCATGGGGTAGTACTTCCATTTGTCACGAGAGAAAAAAAGATTATTTTCAATTTCAATACAGAAAAGAGAACTATACACATAACCCTTAACCCTCAACAAGGTCTTAAAGTTGAAGGGTCTAGATGGAGTAGGTCACGTATGCATTGGTTTATGTAGTCTTAGAAGTCCCTGATAGCCTTTATTTTTTAAATTAATAAATTGCAACATTCATTGA